TATATATATATATATATATATATATATATATATATATATATATATATATATATATATATATATATATATATATATATATATATATATATATATATATATATATATATATATATATATATATATATATATATATATATATATCCACAACTATCATCATTCACATAAACACACAGTTTATGTTCATTCCAATGTATCATTACAATGACACAGTTTGTGGAATGAATATATATATATATATATATATATATATATATATATATATATATATATATATATATATATATATATATATATATATATATATATATATATATATATATATATATATATATATATATATATATATATATATATATATATATATATATATATATATTCATGTTTCTACACTCATTTATCAATACAATGATGTTATTCTCATCATTCCACATCAACATACATACATATAAATGTTGATTCAATCATCAATGCACACATACAAGGATGACAAATGCAAATCACAGAGACCGCTCACGACTCTATGCATATGCAATGCGGTACCGACTCATTCAGCAGGTTCAATTAAAGAACCAAATGGAACCATCCCTCGTTACCGAAGTAACTCCCCGTCGGACCTACGATGTTCACCCATCGCTCACACCTCACATGGGCACACGATGTTTCAGGATTTCTCACACCCCACACGGGCACACAATCCGATCACTCACACCCCACACGGGCACATGATCTAATCGCTCACACCCCACATGGGCACACGATCTGATTGCTCACACCCCACACGGGCACACAATCATTCAGCAGATTCTACACAGAATCAATCAGCACAAGAATGTATATCATGATGCTTCACATGCAAAATGACTCCATACACTTCTTGAAATGCATACATATTCATAATATTTTCATGCATTCATCTCATATTATCTTATACAATCCATATGCATTCACAGCAATTATGCCAAACGGCAACTGAACGCTCTAATTATTTAAGCCTCACTTACTTAAAATAATTAATCTCGATTAATTGGTAAAATTGGCTAAAATTCAGATGAAAATAATATTTCCTTTCACCAAGTTATAGAACATATTATTAGCTTCAGTTTGATATAAAGAACGACAAAATCCGATAAACGGTGAAGAAGTTATGAATTTTCAAAGTTTCGAAAAAGATAATATGTTCTCACACTTACAGTGTTAACAGGTTAACACATCCGTTAACCGGTTAACAGCTCCAAAACTCAGTTTTTGTCCATTTTTATGTACCGTTAATCGGTTAACCTAAAGCATTAATCGGTTAACACCTGAAAATTTTGGAAAAACAAGCTACGGGTTTGTGTCCAAAACCCCCATAAACCCGACCGATTTAATTATTTTTTCCCGATTAAATACCTACTCATCATTACCAGTCATATAGTAACAATTTAGGATCATAAAACATAAATTTTACGGCTTCCGATTTTCATCCAAAATCTTAACCTCCAATTGTCCAAAAATGTCAAAACTCACAAATTCAACCAAATTCAATCAAACGAAATCCAATAATCACGGCTAGACATTACTCGACTAAACTACGCAATTTATTCCAGATTTTAATCTTCAAACATCGACTCTATCAATTAAATCTATTTCTGCCCTAGAATGGAAAAAGATGAAAACATCCAAACAAATCCAAACACACACATACATAATCATATACATTGGTAAGATAACAATATTTCACACCCTTACCCGATTAAATTGAAGCCTAGATGTTGTTCTTGATGATTCTCCAAGTTTTTCCTCTTTCTCCTCTTCTCTCTTTCTTTCTCTTCCTTTTCTCTTCTTTCTTTCTCTTATCTTTCTATTCTTTCTCTTTTTCTCTCTTATCTCATTCTATTTTCTTTCCTTTCTATTTCTCTCAAAACATCTACCAAATCATTTACTCACAAAATATCCAACTTAATATTAAATACTAAATGTCTAAAATACTCTCCAATTTATTTTCCCCGAAAACTCTCAAAATCGATAAAATAGCAAAACATACCATATTAACACATCAAATTCACAATTAATATAATTATTACTCAAATTAAATAAAATACTCAATAAAATGTAATAATCAAAATCGAGGCGTTACACAAGGCAGTTAGACTTCAAACTCAAAACTCTTCAACAAAGAGATGAGAACTCCCCTTTGAAGTCCTAAAGTCAAACACCCTATCCCTTGTGGCTTCAAACCTTTAAACATCAAATCAAACCCTAGCCAGCCTTTGGCTTTAAATTCAAAACACTTTCCCAGAGATGAGACATGAGTCATCTCTATGGGAGAGATATCTCTTCTATTTCATACAATATTCAATCAAGTTTTTTCAAACTTTTTTTCATTAAAGTTGTGTGAATGGCACACTTGTTAATTCAATATCCAAGTTGGAGTCCCTATCTTATTATGGTATAAAAACACTTCTTTCATTTAAGTGGTATAAGTGGCACACTTGTTGATTTTATATCCAAGTCAAGGTCCCTCTCTTAATATGCAAAGACTCGTTTAAAGGAAGATGTGACATTACTCTGGATTTTCTACATCCAAGTTTAAAGCTTCTTCCCTTATTACTTTCTCAAAATATTTGTGCTAAATAGGTGAGGTATCTCCCTTAAGATGACAATTTGTCACTTCTCTCAAACTTAGCAAACCCAAATCCACCCATTAGTAAGTGGAACTACGAACGCTCTCATTTCTCAATTTCCTTTCGAGAATACGTAGGAATAAGATTGCGAGATTTTAGCGAGCATAGTCATATTTAAAACCCTTAGGTTCCCATACCTTTACCTCAAACCATTTCAAATTACCAAAATAAAAATTTCTCCTATCACTCACTCAAAACAACCAACAAATCCCCAATACACAGCAGAAGACTTTATCAATATTAAACACAAATGAACACAAGAGGTTACTATAGAATACTATAGATACTTAGGGTGTTAATACCTTTCCTTTGTATAACCAATCCTGATTCCTAAATCTCTTAGTGCATTTGCATTGCACGCACTCATGTGTTTATTTAGATTTTTTTCTCTTCCTCTCTTAGGATAAATTAAAAGCTCAAATGTAGACAGAAAGGGGCGACCTTACTTCGAAAGAAGGGACTAAATCCCGCGTTGACAAAAGGCTAACAAAGTCTTATGCTGATCTGGTGTGAAAGCTAAACATCCATGATCTTGCTAATTTTATTCATTGAATTCAAATTGAGATTCCTCTACTTTAGCATTTGCAGCTACCAAATTATTGACAACGCCATCCAACTTCCAGTAAAGAGAAAAGCCATGATTTTTAAAACAAGAATATATTGTATGACTGGTCATCCCATAATGAGTACAGACTATAATGTCTCTACCTCATCCACCATAAAAAATTCACCTTTTATATCTCTGCCACGATAACCTAAGTTTCCTTTATTTTGAAAATTTTAATTCTAATAGTTTTGATTTTGATTTTGATTTGGAAAATCAAGAATTTTATACTCATCTAGGAGTATGACAACTAGTCTTTCTTGTTAAATAGACAATGAGGAAACTTTGAAAATATTAGAAAACGAAACCATCAGCATGATTTATGATCTAACTACTGAATAATGATCATTAAAACTTTTGAAAATCCAAATAACTTGGTCTTCATCTTTGTAATTTTTTTGGCAAGATGTCTCACCATTGCATTGAGGATCTTCTATTAACATTACTGGCAGAGCTTACAATTAACATGTTGAGATTGATTAAAAGAAAATTGAAAGATCTTGATTGAAGGTAAAAGAAAGATGAGATTGATGAGCAAAAGAACTATTGAAATTAATCATAGGTGGATGATACCATCTTAAATTGTAATTAAACTTGCCTTATTTAAGAGAGGAAGAATGTATATAGAGACGGTATCAAAATAACTTCAATGCATGAGTTAATGGTTCTAACTCTTTTAGACTCGATCTTAGGGTTAGGTGGCATTACTTTTATAACTCTTCAATGCTTTCTACATGCCAGAATTAATTTGAGTCAAAGTATATCCAAAATTAAATGTTTCTTTGAAATTGAAACACTACATGTTATTTTGGTGCCATGAATACCTAAATATTTTGCAAATCCAACTCAAACCCTCATAAGAAAAAACACAGTGGGAGTGGGAGCCCATGGGAATAAACATGATGAAAATTGACAACACCAAACTTGGTTGCTTTGTAATTAGTACAAAATATACTACTTCCACAATTTATATCAAGAATATCAATTTTTTTCTATTTTTTATATATTAAAATAAAATTAAAAATAAGTTAGAAAGTAATAATTCTATTAAATTAAATTTATTCAAGTATTTATATACTTATTATTTCAATAAATAAAAAAATAGAAGATATTAACTTTTTGTGTGATATGTAAAGTCTATATGAACCCAATTAATATTATATTAAAAAAATTTACAATTAATTAATTTTGTGACAATATTTTATAAAAAATGTGACACTTCAAAAACCACCCCAACATATACTCTACATATATTTATTTATTTTTTAATTATTTAATTGTTGGAATATAAAATTGTTAATATCATGGTATTGTTAAAATATATATTACTGTAAATGTCTTTTTTCCTTTTATAATAGATAAAATTAATTTAATACTTTTAAATATAAATGTAAAGACAGTTGTAGATTTTAAAATTTTAGAATTAAAATGTCGGCAGTGAAAAAACAATTCTTATTGATAAATAAATTTAAAAATTGTCTCTTAAAATTAAATAAATAAATATAATTAAAGATAAATAATATATAAAGGAGAGATCAAAACATAGTGATTTTAAAATGTAAGAATAAATTATATCAATGTAAAAATGATATTCTTTCAGGCAATATATATTTTCTAATAGTACAATAAACAGAAGGCACTATTGATGAGAAATTTGATATGGCAAGTTATTAATAATGGTACCAACCCTCCTGAAATATACAGAATCATTGAATAGCAATTAAAGCACAAGAATGAGACAGAAAGAAGAGTCAAGAAAAATGGAAGGAACATCAAGGAATGAAGAAGAGGCAGAAGAGGTAACTACAAATGAGAAGATTACCACTTTTTATCTTTATCATCCATGTTCTCTACTCCAAAAATTCCTTGGAACTTTCTTCAAATGTTTTGGCTTTGAAATTGAAACCAACCAAAAAGAACATGAGGTAAAGTCTCATTCAGATCATACAGAAGAGGATCTTGGAAGTGAAGAAAATAAAGCAAGAAATGAACATGAAAGTTCCCAAAATGAATGTTCAACAAGCACTACTCAAAGTTTTGTAAGTTTTTCTCTCTTTTAATTTGAGAATCATTTGAAAGTTTTTTTCTATATTTTTTAATTTCTTTCTACATCATCAATTATAACTATGTATTCTCTTTTTGTTACAGCAGTTTATGAGTACTTTGATAGTTAGGCGTGGTGGACCACGAAGATCAGATCTTAGTAGAGGATCAGGTCCTGGGATTAATTAATTAATTAATACTTGCTTATAAATATCTCAAAGCTAGTAGTTCTTATGAACTTTAAGCAGAAATGTTGATCCATAGATTTAAATGATGTAATATTTTAACATTTCTTTCAATTATGTAGGGCTTCTATATATGTAACAACTTTTGTATGTGTGAAAATTTACTATTATGCCTAACACTGCTTCCATGAAAATATTACAATATCAAATACATTTCAATGTTTCAAGTTGCCTTTGATTTGAGAAGCTGGAAATCCAAGCTTCTATCATATCCATGTCTAGCTCGTTTCAAACTCACATCCAAACTTAAGTCATTAAGCACGGTTTTAATTGGATTCATTTATTTAGTTTATCAAAGGATAATTATATAGTTAACTATAATAGAAAGGTAGGGAGGATGAAGAATTTTCATCATTGATTCAGAGAGAAATTATGTTATTGATTTATTTTGAAGAGAAAGAATGAATGTGCACCGAGCATAATAAACTCTGTGTCAGCTAACTCACACACACTCTAACAACTTTTATAAACCAGATGTAACTCACTTCAATAAAGTAGAGTTGCTTTATGTTGTTCTAGTTTATTCTAATATCTTCCTTTCAATTGGTGGGTGACTCTAAATTGAGATTCCTTAAGTCAATGTTGACTTGTCCGTTACCTTGAGTTGATCTCTTGGAGCAAGGCTTCATACTCAATTTTCATTGCTTGAAGCTAGTTAGGGTCTTTGAGAGCCAATTTATAAGAAGTAGGCTCAAGCTCAGTTAGAAGAATAGTAGGATGAAGGCGAGGTAAAACAATGACATATTTGGCTCTTGTGGTCATTGAGTGATTATTGTGAGGATGAATTATTGGTACAGGAAGGATTAAAGAAGCGGAAATGGAAGCAAAAGAAGGTGATTATGTGTTTGGTTCAAATTTTAAGAGGGGAATGAGAGGGAGATGGAGGGGACCAAAATCCCTCTTGAACCACTTTTTGTTTCCCTCGATTTGAAGGGAAGGGAAGGTGTTTGATTTTAATTATAATTATATTTACATATTTACCTTTATTATTTATTTAAATATAAATTTAACTTATAACAATGTTAAAAATTTTATTTTGAACAAATTTAATCTTTGTTTTTATATATGTTGTATGTTTATATTTTCATCTTACAATCATTATACTGTTTAAATTTTTTATTTTGTTTTTCATATTTTTATGTTAATTTTAGTTATCGGAATGTTTTTATTTATAAATAATAGAGAGACCAAAACTGTAATTTAGTAAATTATATATTATAATCGTTGCGTTTTTGTAAAGTATTTCATGATGATTTCTGATTGAATATTTATATTTCGTCAATAAATTTGTATTTAAATTATAAACGGTAAATATCACATGTCTTATGGTAAAAGTAGAAGGATAAAAAAGTAAATTAGTTTTAAAATAACTTCATTCCCCTTGTGAACCAAACATATTTGTAAATAAAATGTCTCCCCTCCCCTCCCCTTTCATATGTTGAACCAAACATATATGTAATTAAAATTCCTCTCATTCCCTCCCCTCGATTGAACCAAACAGACCCTAAAGAAACCCGACATCATTAAAAATGACATCCTTAGAGATAAAAATTCTGCCATCACTAGCCAAACATTTATAGCCTTTGTGATTAGAGGAATAGCGTAAAAAGACACGCACGCCTTGAATGATATGCAAACTTATGGTTATTATAAAGTCTAAGATGAAGATAGCATGCACAACCAAATTTTTCAAGGAACTTATAGTCAAAAGCATGATGACATAGAGAAAAAAAATGGAGAATGCATGTACAAAACTGTGGCAGGCATCCTATTAATAAGATAGGCAACTGTGGAATGCATGGTCCCAAAATTTTCAAGGAAAAGAGGATTAAGATAACAAGGTAAGACCAATTTCTAATACATGCCTACCTTTTCTCTCTACTGAACCATTTCGATGGTGAGTATAAGGGCATGTCAATCTGTGGACTGTACTGTTGAGCAAGAAAATCAGTGAGGGATTGAACCTTACCACCTCCATCAGTTTGAACAACTTTAAGCTTGTTGTTAAATTTAGTATTAAAGGTGAGAGTAAAGGTTTTAAAGAGTGAAAATATTTAGGAGTTTTGCTTGAGTTGAAAAACCCAAGAATATTTTGTAAAGGCATCCACACAAGTAAACATATACTTAAATCTAGATGAGGAAACCATAGTTGTTGGTCCCCACACATCAAGAAATATAAGGTCAAATAGAGCATTATACACTGCATCAAATGGAAAATATGGTAGTCTACGCACTTTACCAAGGCAACAAGCTGAACGAAAATCAAATTTTGATTTAGAAGGAATATAAATATTACAACTTGCAAGCACGATTATGAGGGCCTCATGATGAGGGTTCCCAAACCTATTGTACCATTTTGTATACAAAGAAGTCCCCATACTAGGAGTTAAATTATTTGCATTAGAATAAAAACTATGGTGTGTGGTGTCAGACTATTAAGTTTGTGCACTATAGGTAGGGGTGGAAATAGGCCAGACCAACTAACAGGGGCCTACGGCCTAACTTACATAGGCCCAGGTCAGACCAGGATTTTTCTTACATAGAAAAGTCCTAGGCTTTTTTATAAGCCTATTTAGCTAAAGAGGCTACGACACAGGCCATAAGAAAAGCCTTTTAAGCCTATCAGGCCGACCTATTTATAAAAAATTCAATAAATTTATTATTATTATATTGTATTTTGTACTTTGAATTAAAATACGAAAATAAAGCTTAGTTATTTTGAACAACTTATGAAAATAAATTGAAAAACATTATAAATAATGTCATAAGTTTTCTTCCATAAGTTCTCTCCAACAAATAGTATCACCAAACTTATGCTAATAGGTAAACTTGAATGAGACAATAAAAACAAACATTTAGTCTCAATGATCTTTTAATTTGTTAGTTTATTTAACATTAGTTGAATATTTTATTTACAAACGTTCAAATGAAGTAGGCCTTTAAATAGGCTAGTAGGCCAATCATGCATTCGAAAAGGCCAGACTTAGGCCTAAAAATAAGCCTATGATAGGCTACGGCTTAGACTTTGAATTTTTTAGCAGGCCAGACTCAGGCATGGCAAAGCCTAACTCGGCCCAGCCTATTTTCACCACTAACTGTAGGTGAATAGTTCTTATTGGAACTAAGAATTATAACTTGTAAAGAACCAAATGAGAATAGGCTATTTTTCCAAGAGCTCATTGAAGCACCATTTCAGATGAACCCTGTGATTTGACAAGATAGATGTCAGGGTGAAATTCAAAGTATACATGATTATCTCTAGCAAATTGGCTAACTGAAATGAGGTTCTTAGTAATTTTAGGGACCAATAGAAAATTTTCCTAGTTAAGTGTGACATGTGGATTATGTGTGGAGTGAAAAGAGGTAGATCCAATAAAAGTGATGGACAAACCTTGGTCATTTCCAAGCATCACTTAATCTGAACCAAAAGTGGATACATTATCCAAGAAATTCTCTATATTATTGGTAATAAGGTGTGATGCCCCAAAGTCTGGATGCCACTGAGAAGAAGAGAAAGGAGTTATGGTGGACATTATCCCAATCAAATAGGCTTGAGGTTTCTCAATATGAGGGATAGTGTTGAGCGATTGGCCTAAGAGGAAAGCAAGACGAAGATGCTCTCCATGTTAGAGCTTTAGCAGCCAACCATTGATTTCTAGGAGAGATAACATGTGGAATCTGAGTCGAAGGAGTCATGAACCGGTGTTGAGATTAAGAGTAATGTGCAGAGCTTCTCCATTGATATGATTGTTATGGTTGTTAAGAGAGGCGAAGATAACACACTTTAGCATCATGACCAAATTTGGAGCGAATTTGGCACTGCACACGGGTTCTGCCACCATTCCTACCACCACCTCTAAAGCCCATGTTTTGCCATTTCTGAAACTACCACGAGCATCAAATGAAGAAACAAGCTCATGAGAAAGCATTTGTGATTGAGCTTCTTGAGGTGCAGTCATATTGTTAGACATAGTTGAATCAGGTGTTGATGTGGTGTTACCATGAGCGGGATTGACTGAAAGAGGCTCTTGCCCGGGTGTTTGGTGTGCTCTTTTAAGTCTAGTTTCATGTGATAGAAGTAGGTGTGTACTCGTTTTGGTTTGGACCAGGTTTTGGTCGAAAAAATGTCTGAACCGATAATATTTCCATTGGTTTGGTTTTTAGTGTTTTTAAAAAATAGAATCAAACCAAACTAACCGGTTTGCTTCGATTAAGTTTACACCACTGTTTTTTTCAATTATATTAATTAAAATATTCTCCGCTATTATGTTTTTCGATGTATTTTCTATTATTTTTTTAAATACATTTCATATAATCTTTTTCATCTATTTAACGCTCTACTTTTCAAGCAACTTACAAGTTTTATTTAATTCATACATAACACTAACAAATAAAACACAACAATAACAACAAAATATTATCATACACTAACATGTTTCACACCTCAAATACACATCAAAACTATTTTCTAAAAAAGAATACATGAAATTTCTATGCATAAGAAGAAGCAAAAAGTGTATAAAAAAAGAGCTAAAAACTAAACAAGAGAACTTGAAGCACGAAGAATGGTAACTATAGTTATCGGTTCGATTCACCGGTTTTGCAGTTCCTAAAAACTAACGGTTTTGTTTTCAGTTTTGTTTGGTTTAATCAATTTTTAGAAGCATATTTTTGCCAACAATCATAGAGCACGGTTCATCACGATACTGAATATCGAAACAAGACCTTAATATTCAGTAGGAAGACCATCCAAAATTCTTTCTAACTGATCACGATGAGAAAGGACCACGTATAGATTCCTTAATATCAACAATTTGTTGAATTCGCCCTAGATATTGAGCGATCGTGAGATCTCCCTTCTCAATGCAACGTAACTCAACGAAGTTATCGCGATTTCGCATATACCTGAGTTTGTTAAAACTGATCAATCACGAACCAGACTTC